ACATTCGGTATCACAGAGGACAGCCCTGTCAGAAAGAGCCACTTGGCATAAGGTTTAAGGATTATTGGTGCAGTGGCCTCAGGTGCAAAGCAGTCAGGAGCCAAGAGATGGGAGACCTGGATTTGCTTCCAGCTGCAACTAATCAACTCTGTCACTTGGAGAAAGTTGTCTACCTCTCTCTGTAGATCTTCCATTTAGAAAATGGGAACAATAGTCCCTCCCCAGTAAGCTTCTTAATTCAAGGCAATTTATACAAAATACTGTATAAAATACTGTATTTAAAGTACTGTAAATAATGAGTAGAAATAGTGGAACTAGCATTGATAGGTATTTACTATGTGTTAGTGTGTTAGATATTTTATATATACATGGACACACACGCACAGGTTTCCCCCTTCTCCCCCCTTATTGCGTTCTGGCAGCCACCCTGCGAGGTGAGCCTGGTGTTTTAATATTACCACTCTGAGCCAATAAAACTGGGGTGCTGAGAGGTTAAGTCCTAACTCAAGATCACAAGCCTGGTTAGGTAGTCGGCCTGATTCTCCAAGTACTGGGAGAACCCAGTGAAGCCCAAGCTTGGCAGCCAGCATGCCTGGAACCTGGCTGGGCTGTAAGAGTGGGCTGCATTGAGTCCTGGTGGCCGTGCAGCGCCTGAGGCAGCCTCAGTCTTTGGTGCTTCAGCCTCTAATTAGCTGCATCTTGAGTTCCAAACACCCTCCAGGTTACCCCTGTGTTCAAGAAGTGCCATCATTCCTTATAGGTGTTAATGCATGAGAAACATTGGTTGGCTCCTGCCTGCCATTGCAGGAGACATAAGAGATGCAGGTTCGATCCCTAGGTCAGGAAGATCCCCTGGAGGAGGGTTTGGCAACCCACTCCAGTATTTTTGTCTGGAGAATCCCATGGACAGAGGAGCCTGGTGGGCTACAGTCCATAGGGTCACATAGAGTCAGACACAACTGAAGTGACTTAGCACGCATGCACGCACACATTAGCCACTTTAATAAAAGTTTGGGGGACAAGCTGAGGACCCCAGGAGCAGCATTTGCTTGAGCTCTGTGAGTTGTGGTTTTTATACTTCTGCTGTCCATGATAAAAAACAAATAATAATACTGTACTAAATAGAGCAGGGGTTTTGTTATTCCCATATCTTAAACCTGTGCAAGGCCCCCACTTCATCTTTGTGCTCATTTAGATTTCTGATGATTGGGTCGAAATTTATTTCAGTAGCATTTGAACAGTTTTGAATGATGCCATCTCAGTGATGTTAATTCCACTTGGTCACGTCTTCCTATCCCTCTGATGTACAAGGTGCCTGGGATAGCTTTTGCTCCCTTGTTGAGATTTGATGCTTTCTGAAAGAAGTGATGATCCCCAGTGACTCAGGACTGGATGTCCCCAGGCAGGAGAGTATGGTCATATTTCATGACAGGGCTTAGTTCAGGCAGTGACTGGCTCCTTTCCCCCAACCAGCTTATTTCAGCTCTTTGCTAGAAAGATAAAGAATATCAGAAAAGCATGGAGCTGTGAGAGGGAACTCTTAAAGTTACCAAGATTATTGTTAGTGTGCAGCTCCTGCTGGAGAAGCTTCTGTCACCTTCACAGACACACAAACTGTGTCTGGGGTGTGACTTGGTACTGGGCTGCTGATGGCTGCCTAAGAGCCATTTATAGAGCTTATCAAATACAGATTTGTTGGCCTAGAGCAGGACCTGGAAATCTATATTTTTCTAATGTGCACCCTAGTTTGGGAAGCCCAATCGTAGGAGTGCCTCATATAATTTTGCAATTACTGTTAAAACAGTAGATTACAGTAGCCTTCAATTAAAATGTTTTCCTTAAAAGCCCAATTTTCTGACCATTTCACATAATTTTCTGACTCAGATGGCCTTTCTATTCTTCTGATATAATACACCCTCCTATGTCCCACCCTTCATCCGTTTATGTGACCAACGTTTAACAGCTGTCTAAGATGGGTCCCAGCTGTCTAAGATGGGGTCACAAAGAGTCAGACACAACTTAGTGACAGAACAACAAGAGATGGGCCCCAGGAAATGAGCTAAAAAGATCAAAAGACACAGTTCTAAGTTCACAGGAGCCTGTGGTGTAGCCCGGAGACCATTAAACAGTAAACCAATTCTTGTGGAATAATATCATTATTTCAGCTGCAGTGGGAACACCTAAAATTTGCTGGAAAATCAGGTAGTACATCCTGGGGTAAAAACACTTTGAGGCTTAACAAAAGAGAGGATGGTTGTCAATGGCAGGTGAACATAGGAGACAGCAGAGAGAATAGCTTTGCAAAGGCTTAGTGGCCAGAGAGCCATAGGTGGCAAGAACTGCACATTCTTTGATTTGCCACCATCTATGTAGAGCTAGTGGTAAAGAACCCTCCTGCCAATTCAGGGGACACTGGAGATGAGGGTTTGATCCCTGGGTCAGGAAGGTCCCTTGGAGGAGGGCATGGCAACCTACTCCAGTATTCTTGCCTAGAGAATCCCGGCGCCTGGCAGGCTACAATCCATGGGGTCGCAAAGAGTTGGACACAACTGAGTGACTAACACACACACATTGATAAAACTTGTGATAGAAACGAGGGTGGATGTACTGACAGAGGGCAGCTCATGAGGGGCTTGGAGATTGTGTGTGGTGGGAGTTTGTATTTGACCTCATGAGTACATTTTTTTTGCCACATATGTAAGTTTTTTCTCAACATCTTATTGATGTATATCTTTTAAAAAAATCCTTCCCCTGACAGTACAGCATGATGAAATTGCTTCTTCTCACGCAATACCTTGGAAGCAGGAGAGACTCAGCAATAATTGGCTACATCCCCAGTGGAGCCCTAGCTTCAATTCTCATCTTCTGGTCCTGTTCATAGTCTCTGATTTCAGAAGCCGGAAGTCAGCCTGTGTGTGGGGCGTCCTTCTCCATAAAGCCTGTGTCCCTTTGGAAAGCCCTGTCTCACCAGTGTCATCTCCTGTCCTCATCATGTCTCTGATTGATCCCTGAGTTCCTTCCACACTGATCTATTTCAGGTTTTCAAAGAAACATAACTTTCCCCACCACAGGGCCTTTGCACACACTGTTCCCTCTGTGTGCAGTTCTCCTCCATTCCTAGCCTCTATTTTAAAAAGCCCTGTGCCGTGCTGTGCTAAGTCACTTCAGTTGTGTCCAACTCTGTGTGGCCCTATGGACTGTGACCAGCCAGGCTCCTCTATCCGTGGGATTCCCCAAGAATACTGGAGTGGGTTGCCATTCGCTTCTCCAGGGAATCTTCCCCACCCAGGGATCCAACCGGTGTCTCTTAGGTCTAACCTGCAGTGGCGGGTGGGTTCTTTACCACTGGCACTACTTGGGAAGCCCAAAAAGTAGGGGTAGGGGTGACAGCGAAAGTGGTCAGAAAAAAGCCCCATTCCCCTTTATTTGTGATGCTTGACAGAATTTTACATTGTTTTACTTATTCTAGTGACTTTATTGCCAGACTTCCCCTTTAAGTTCCATTGAGGCAGGGACCTGGTGTGGCTCATTCACTACCACATCCTTCAGTTCTGTTCAGTTCAGTTCAGTCACTCAGTCATGTCTGACTCTTTGCGACCCCATGAATCGCAGCACGCCAGGCCTCCCTGTCCATCACCAGCTCCCGGAGTTTACTCAAACTCATGCCCATCGAGTCAGTGATGCCATCCAGCCATCTCATCCTCTGTCGTCCCCTTCTCTTTCTGCCCCCAATTCCTCCCAGCATCAGGGTCTTTTCCAATGAGTCACCTCTTCGCATGAGGTGGCCAAAGTACTGGAGTTTCAGCTTTAGCATCAGTCCTTCCAATGAACACCCAGATTGTGGCCACCTATTAAAAAATATTAGATACCTGTTTGCTGAGTGAGTGGATGTGTGAACGATGAGTGGATGAATGGATGGATGGATGGGTGTAGTTGAAGTCTGTATGTTGAATTCGTAACAAACCACAGCCCACCGTTGTTTTTCAGGCTGCAGTTCCACTCAGCCAGGCTCCTAAGAATTCTCTTCTCCCACAGAACCCAGCAAAGCTACGTCCATCCTTCATGCTGTGATCTAAGCTCCATTCATTTGATGGAATCTGTGATCTCTAAAGCTGACAGTGATTTGTTTCTTTCCTGACTTAGACATAAAATATATGTTTGTATTTTGTTAATTACCTTGGAATGTCTGTGCTTTGTTTCCAGTTGGATCACTTACCCAACTTTCATTTAGTTATGATTTTTAAAAAAGACTTTTCTCATAAGAAAAGCAATAAAGAAATATATCTCAGAGGATGTGAGAAATACTGAGTATAGTGCACTCAGTATACAGAGTATACTCAGTTCATATTTGAATCCCGCATAATTTCTCCTCCTTGAGTTATACATTCCACAATTTATCTGCATATGTGTGCATGTATAAGCCTCCCGAATTTTAAACATAACATGATCCCTCTGTCATAAAGACTTTTCAAGGCTATTTCATTGTATGCTTGACCCTAAGTTCCGATTTTGAGACTCACTATTGAGTGCCAACAGAACACCAGACTGGATGCTAGACACCAAGGTAAATGTTATCCTACTTAGTGTCATTTAGTGNGCTATTTCATTGTATGCCTGACCCTAAGTTCCGATTTTGAGACTCACTATTGAGTGCCAACAGAACACCAGACTGGATGCTAGACACCAAGGTAAATGTTATCCTACTTAGTGTCATTTAGTGCTTTCTGGAAAAAGATAAAGAGTAGCTATGTTTCTAAGTGGCTGTGATAGGTTGCAGAAGAAAGAAGTGAAACTTAGAATAATTTGAGTTATGGTTAACAAGAAAGATTGGATCCCCAAGAGACACAGCCACTCAATTACTGAGTGCACTGAACTCACAGGTGTCTTATGACAGTGGTTCCTGCTAAACCTCTAAAACAAGGACTTGGGAGAACCTTGGGAGACCACTCTTCTCTGAAATCCTAGCTGTAAGAATGACTCCTGTTTTCCTTCTTTTCTAGAGCGACCGTCTTCTGATCAAGGGAGGCAGAATCGTCAACGATGATCAATCCTTTTATGCTGATATTTACATGGAAGATGGCTTAATAAAGTATGTATTTTGGACCCTTCGCTTTATCTTTTGAACTTTCTTCACTGGAGACTCAGAAAGAAACTTGCTTCTTTTGCTTAGGAGACCAGGGCTTCTGTGTATTTCATTTCTCCTTCTCCTTAAAGATGACTCTTTCATTTAGCCCTTCAGTCTGGATAATCCCTTTAAAACTGGGTTTTAAACTAGCCTTAGTTCACTTGGATCACATGAATGAAGTGAAAAACCTGAATTCAGTCCCCAAATGATGCTACAGGCCGCTTCGGGCAATCTGCATTGATGGGAGCTCTATGTTGTGGAGAGGTGGGTGATGTGACCATCGTCCTTAAGATCATTGGAAAAGCTCCACAAACTACAGTACCCTAAAAATATAAGGTCTAGTATAATAGGTCCATTCCCTTCTTCAGGGGACCTTCCTGACCTAGGGATCAAACCCAGGTCTCCTGTGTGCAGGCAGGTTCTTTATCTAAGCTACTAGGGAAGCCCCATGCTGCTGCTGCTAAATTGCTTCAGTCGTGTCCGACTCCGTGCGACCCCATAGATGGCAGCCCACCAGGCTCCTCTGTCCCTGGGATTCTCCAGGCAAGAACACTGGAGTGGGTTGCCATTTCCTTCTCCAATGCATGAAAGTGAAAAGTGAAAGTGAAGTCGCTCAATCATGTCCGACTCTTCCCGACCCCAAGGACTGCAGCCTACCAGGCTCCTCCATCCATTGGATTTTCCAGGCAAGAGTACTGAAGTGGGGTGCCATTGCCTTCTCCAGGGAAGCCCCATAATAAGTACCAAAGGAATTCAGGTAAAGATAAGTAATTTAGAAATGCACAAATGGAGAAATCCCTTGAGAGGAAGGTTTTGAGGTGGAGAGGGCATTTAAACTGAACCTTGACTTAGGAAGGACTTGGAAGGTTTTGAGGTAGAGAGGGTATTTAAACTGAACCTTGACTTAGGAAGGACTTGGAAGGTTTTGAGGTAGAGAGGGTATTTAAACCGAACCTTGACTTAGGTGGGACTTGGTTGGGCAGTGCACAGATAGGACAAACATTTCAGGTCAGGTTTCCCAGTAGACACTTAAGGGATATGTAATTACTTTACAGAATGGTTTGCTATTGGATGCTTGAAAGCAGCATAGCCAGATAACCTTTATGTGCAACTTCCTTACATAGTGATCTTTTAAAAAGCGTTTGACCTATACATAGCTTTTCATCGCATAAAGCAGGCTGCTTCCCCACACTGATAAGACATAGTTTATAACTAGTGTATCCAGCCCACCAAATGAGCCATCCCTGGCCTCATACAGTTTTATTTTTATATTATCCAGCTTCATTGGCTAGCTTTAAGATTCTGGTTATAGATCGCTTACTTATCTTTGGAAACTTGGCTTAGATAAAACTTTCTGTGGGCAGACATTCCTTACCAGCCCCTAAATCTAGGCTAGTTTTCCCTTTGATGAGTTTTTTTTAAGATTTTTTTTTTTTTTTAATGTGGACCATTTTTAAAAGTCTTTATTGAATTTGTTATGGTATTGCTTCTGTTTCATGTTTTGGTTTTTTGACTCTGAGGCATGTGGATCTTAGTTCCCCAATGAGGGATTAAACCCACACCACCTGCATTGGAAGGCAAAGTCTTAACCACTGGATCATGAGGGAAGTCCCTTGATAAGTTTTTAAAATACCCCATGCTTTTATCTATCATAGCAGTTCTGACACTATTAGGCCCCCTTGAGAGCAAGCACCACATTGGGTTCTTCAATGTATCTACAGCACTTAACCCAGTACTTGATACATAGAGACTTTTGTAAGAGCTGCCTTTTATTGAGTATATATCATAGTGTGTGCCAGATATTAGAGTAAATGCTTTACAGGCCTCATCTCATTTAATCTGCCAGCAATTCTATGAAGTAGGTACTCTTATTACCCTCTTTTTCAGAGGAGGATAAAGAAGAAAGAGGAACAGAGACAGTAAATAAGTTGCTAAAGATCAACATAGTAATTCATTGAATGAATGAACAAATGCAAGAATGAAGATGTTCACACTTAGTAGCTTTGCTGATTTGCATACATTTTCATAATAGAAGTAGGAAAAATGGTGTTATTAGACAAGTCAACTGATATAAAAAATACTTTCTTCAAGATATAAGCCACAATTATTTTTATATTTTTCTCTTACTAAAAACATATGTGTAGTCTGCTCTCTTTGGAGCAAGTGTGTTCCCTCATTTAGACATTTTCAGAGTTGGAAAAAAAAAAATTCAGTGCCTCATGCTTCTTCTTCATTCCAGAGCTCATGGCAGGCATCATTAATTGATCATGGAACTTTTCGTGGTTGACCCTTAAACACAGGCCCTGAATCCTGCCTTGTGCAGTGATTCAGGCATCTACTACCAAAACTGAATATATAAACTGAATCTTCTTTGCCTTCACTATTAAAGTAGACCAGAAGGCCACTTGCCAAGGACATTATAGAAGGAATTTAACCATCCAACGTGTGTGTTGGTGGTGGAGAGAAGGGTGTATAAGCATGATTTTCATCTAATCCTATAATTTGATATATCTTCAGCAACTTTATTAACCCACAGAACTTTGAAACAGAAAAAACTCCTTTCAGTTTTTACAGAGTTGTGTGCCTGCTGTGTGCAAAGCAGCTGTCTCAGGCCGTGGACCTGTACTGTGTCACATGCCATGGAAGATGCCATTGGAAACCAAATCAGCTCTTTTCACCCAAGGATCTGACACTCTTTTAGGGGAAATAATATGTCTGTCCATACAAAGCACATGACATTACCCAGTAACATCAATGTGTGTGTGTGTGTGTGTGTGTGTGTGTGTGTGTATCTGCAGTCACTCAGTCATATCCAACTCTTTATGACCCCATGGACTGTGTGTATGTGTGTGTGTGTGTGTGTGTGTATCCACAGTCACTCAGTCATATCCAACTCTTTATGACCCCATGGACTGTAGCCTGCCAGGCTCCTCTGTCCATGGGATTTCTCAGGCAAGAGTACTGGAGTGGTTTGCCATTTCCTCCTCCAGGGAATCTTCTCAATTCAGGGATGGAACCCACATCTCCTGCATTGGCAGGCAGATTCTTTACCACTGAGATACCAGAGAAGCCCAATAATATCAATATCAAGCATTAAATTAGTAGAATAGATGAGATCCAGAAGAACAAGAGAACTGTGTGAGATTATAACATTATAATTATAATGTTATACCTTTATAACAGCTGATATTTATTGAATTTGTATGTGCTTCACAGGGTTCTATGGGCTTAACACAGATTAACATTTAATCTATACAATAGACCTATGGAGAAGGCTTTTTTTTAAAAAAATCACATTTTACAGATGAAGGAATTGAGACATGGTGAGGTTAAGTCACTGGGCCTAAATCATAAAGCGAGCATTAGCAGAGCCACGATTGTGGATCCAGGGGAACCCACATGCAGGACGGAGCCGCACTCTTCAGTACTAGACCTGGCTGTCAGTAGAAACTTGACCAAGAAGGGGAGAGGGAAGCGAAGCCTTCAAGGATTAATGTGACCTTGATTGGCTCAGTGGAGAGAAGTGGGGGAAAGCATTTCTGTTTGAGACTAGGTATTATACCAGTTGTCAAAAATGTGTGGAAGCATGCCTACATAGGCACACCCAAAAGAGGCAACTCTCCCTGCTCTTGGTTCTCAGTTTCCTCAGAGGTGAATCAGTGAGAGAGGGAGATGGGAACACACTGGCCAGTATCTGGACTAGAATGGAATTACCATCACGGATGCATTTTTTCCACAGTGTGTTTTGAATTGTGGTGACTCTGGAATGGCCCAGTGGTGATGTGGTAAGGGTGAAATCTTAGGGATGTTGGAAAGCTTAATTTTAGTTGTAGAACTTACATTTTGTCAAACCAGTGGAAGACTTCTTACTACCCCCAAGAGAATGTCTTTCTTGGCTGGGTATAAACAAAAGCAGAAAATGTTCATGCCACTGGCAGCACGTACATGTGTCTGCAAGGTAGGAGATGGTTCATAATAATGTAGACCTTCATGAGTCTTAAGTCTGCCTGAAATTAACTGGATGTTTATATCAAGGATGTGAACTGAGCAACATTGTTGGTCTATGAGGTTACATTGTGCTAAGGGTAGTTGTATTTGTCACGTGTCTTGTATAGTGTGCGCTTGGCCTACTCATTGGCTTCCTCCCCACCCCACCAGTTTCCCCCTCTCTGCCTCCCTGAGATGCTGTGAAGCTTCTTGGGCGAAGCTGTATCTGGTAGAGATTGTCATAGTCTGCTTCCTTGGCTTGAAGCTTCTCCTGAGCTGCTGACCACACAGAAGCAGCTGGTGTAGGCATTTGCATCTTTGGCTTCCTCTTTGAGAATCTACCACCCGTTGTGATTGATAGATGAGCTATCCGGGAAGGATGGACTTGGGAGTAAGAATGGACTTGGGAATGCCCTGGACATATTCCATTTGTCGTTAGGAGCACAGACGAACCCATTTAGACAGCAAAGTTCATGCACCTGTTCTTTACCACCTCCTTCAATCTCTTCTAACAGTTGATTATTTTACAGCTGTTCAGTCCTTCTGCGAATGTTCTTCCTGACCCTTAAATAAAGAGCTAAATGAAAATAAAAACACTGGGCTGCCCTGGTGGCTCAGCTAGTAAAGAATCTGCCTGCAATGCAGGAGGCCCTGGTTTGATTCCTAGGTCGGGAAGATCTCCTGGAGAAGGGCTAGGCTACCCACTCCAGTACTCTTGGGCTTTCTTGTGGCTCCGATGGTAAGGCTGAGCCCTGGGTTGAGTAGATCCCCTGGAGGAGGGCATGGCAATCCGCTCCAGTATTCTTGCCTGGAGAATGCCCATGGATAGAGGAGCCTGCAGTACATGGCATGCTGCAGTACATGGTGCTGCAAAGAGTTAGACATGACTGAGTGACTAAGCACACACAATAAAAACATTTATGGAAATATTTATTACACACCCTATATTCCAGCCACAGTCAAACCCTTGGAGTGACAGTATTAAGCCAGGACACATGGTCTCACCAAACACCATACTGGATTGTTTTATGTCTATAAAAATTGTTTTCTGGATGGAGCTAGAGATGATCATACTGAGCGAAGTAAGTCAGACAGAGAGAGACAAAATACCATATGATATCACTTGTATGTGGAATCTAAAAAATGATACAAATGAACTTATTTACAGAACAGAAACTGACTCACAGACAGAAAGCAAACTTATGGTTACCAAAGGGGAAAGAGGGGAAGGGATAAATCAGGAACTGGGGTTAGCGGATACACATTACTGTGTATAAAACAGAAAAACAATGAGGTCCTGCTGGTTAGTGCATATTCATTGTCTTATAATAAAAAATGTTTTACTATTTGTTTCTAGATTGCTAAGCTGGTGAATCACTTGCAAAGACTACTTTGATAAACATGGGTTACAGCATTTAAAATCCTTATAATACCATGTTTGTCTTGGAAGTCCTTCTTTTAAATTGCTGGTTGTTTCCCTGTCTCACCAGGCAAATTGGAGACAATCTGATCGTCCCTGGAGGAGTGAAGACCATCGAGGCCAATGGGAAGATGGTGATCCCTGGAGGCATCGACGTCCACACTCACTTCCAGATGCCATACAAGGGCATGACCACAGTGGATGACTTCTTCCAAGGGACCAAGGCTGCCTTAGCGGGGGGCACCACCATGATCAGTAAGTCCGACAAATTTACACACTCGTGGAAAGCGTGCCAGGGGTCCTAAGAAGTGAGAGTTTAACTAACGTGTTAACTGCAGTGCTCTCTGGTGGAAACTCATATACTTCCCCTCAATTCAGCGAATAGACTTTCTGCCTGACGGGACCTGAGAAAAGCTGATTATAGAGAGGACACTGGCAGCTTCTGTAACCGCATAAGGAGATGCAGGAGGCTCATCACCTTGAAAGCAGCGTACTCTCTGCCTTAGAGCAGGGGCTGAGTGTGCCATGGGTGGGGAATTAGCACTTAGCATCTCTGGGCCAGACCCTGGGGAAAGTGGACTTGAAAAGCTGTGGACCTTGGACAGAAGGTGATCTCAGAACTTCCCGCTTGGTGTGAGGAGGCAGAGGGTATGAGCAGAGCAGTGCAAACATGGCTGAGAAGTCTCCCAGAGAGAATGACAGTGAGATGGGCAGTTCTGGAGAACTTAGGAGGGTGCAGTGGTGGTTAGTGTTGCTTGGTCTGTGCTGTATTGTGACCAGTACCGCTTGTGACCAAGCTTTAAGACTGGGCAAGCCAGGGAGTTGTTTCCTTTATTTTGTTTTTCTGGTGACTTTTGCAATTCCAAAGAAACCTAGGAAGTTGCATGCCATTGATTACTGAAGAGATAGCATTCCAGGGCACTCCTTCCTGTCCCAAAGAAGTTCCAGTGAACTGGCCCCCAGCCCAGCCCTGGCCCCCAGCTTGGTCAGCAAGAGCACTGTTACCACCCAAGAAATATACATCCACCCAAGAACTCAGAATAGCCTTAGACTTAATCACTTAATAGACTTAATCACTGTCTTTTGCTTCCTTTCTATGGGAGCAGTAGTAGGGTTCAGCTTCAGCTAGGGGTGTGGAAACCCAGGAAAATGGCATCAGGGCCATAAAAGGTGCATTTCTGGGAGCCTGAAGCCTTTGTCCAGCCAGAGGGAAGAAGCCAGCCGAGTTCTCAGCAGCTGCCTGCCTACAAAGGCTCTGGTGCTGGTCCAGACACAATAACACAGCTCCAGGCCTCTGCTTTCAGATAAGTGCACTTGGACTGCCTGTGCTAGAAGGCTGAGGAAATGAGTGATCTTGGCCTGGCTTTCTGCCATCTGGCCGAGGAACTGGACCTGTTCAGAGTCCTAGACATATGCATTAGGCTTGGGCTTCTGCATTAGGCAGGGAGCAGGAGGAGAGTCAGAGCTCCACATGAAAAGAGAGGAAAACATGTGAGAATCACAGAAGTGTCTGTGTCCTTTCTAGATAATTAAACACCCTAGGTATGCAAAAAAAAAAAAACCCACATAAATCTCACCTCACTGTCACAGTTTGGCTGTATTAGTTTTTCTGTTTAACAAAAATAGGATTGTAATAAACATACTGTGTTAGCCTTCTGTTCACTAGTTAATATGTCATGGATGTCTTTCCATTCATTTATTTTTATTCTACTGAATTTTAAATGGACTTATGACATCCATTTTATGAAGGTATCATGATTTATGTATTTAACTAAACTTCCCTATTGTAAAACTTTGTTTCCAGCTTTTCACTGGCATAAATATGTAAATAGTGGCAAATTTCTTGAGGACCCAGATTTTGTGTTCAGGCATATTTATTTCCTGAAGGATAATTCTCAGGCACAGGAATAATTGTTGAGTTTAAGGTATGAAAAATGTCAAGGATTTTGAAACACATTTCGAAATTGTTTTTAGGAAAGTTATACCAGTTCACCCTTTCTCCCAACTGACATGGGAAGCAATTAAAGTGTAACATTTGTCTTACCCTTACCAACTTTACTTGTGTAAATGTTATTCTTTTTAAAAATATTGTCCACTATGGCAGGTACTGCAAGAGAAGGTTTGGGCCTCAGAGAAACCGTATTCTTTTTATTAATTTGTTTATTTAGCTTCGTTAGGCACTCGGGACCTTCCTTGCGGCACACAGACTCTACTGGTGGCATGCGGGCTCACTAGTTGCAGTGTGCGGGCTTAGTTGTTCTCTGGCATGTGGGATCTTAGTTCCCCAACCAAGGATCAAACCTGTGTCCCCTGCATTGAGAGGTGGATTCTTAACCCACTGGACCACCAGGGAAGTCCCAGAAACCTTGATGAGAAGTTTTCATGAAAATAAGATCTGTGGGCTAAGCATCTGGTTCACTTACCTGACACCAGCTCTTTCCTACGGCAGTAGGCATGAAAATGTCACTGTCTTGTGACCTGACATAACTTTAAAGCCCCCAAAGAAGGAGTCCAACTTTGATCACCAGCAGTAACTCCCACAGTTACTGGTAATAATGGCACATAGTGGGAGCTCATCAGTTGAGAGCTAACATTTATCAAGCACTTACTATGTGCCAGGCATCATGTGAAGCGCTTTCTACAGTTTTTCCCATTTAATCTCTTCACAAACTTAGAGGGAAGGCAGTGGTATCCCCGTCCCCCACTCCACATCGAAGGATGAGAAAACCAAAGTTTAGAGGAGCTAGTCATTTGCCCAGGATCACATAGCTAAGTACCTGCTGAATCATCAGCAGCCACCATTGAAAACCACCCAGGACCCCTTTCTGAGGTTAACCCTATGCTCAAGAGATAGAGACTGTGCCGTCGTAGCTAAGCAAACAGAACAGACCTGTGCAGAGGGGACCAGAGGCTGTGTTGGTGAGTCGCCTGCTTGGGGCCTGTCTTGTCCAGTTGACCATGTGGTGCCCGAGCCCGAGTCCAGCCTGACGGAGGCTTACGAGAAGTGGCGGGAGTGGGCCGATGGCAAGAGCTGCTGCGACTACTCCTTACACGTGGACATCACGCACTGGAGCGACAGCGTCAAGCAGGAAGTGCAGGGCCTCATCAAGGACAAAGGTGAGCGTGGACACACCCTCCTCCCTTCCCCCTTGTCCGTCTTTCTCACGCTCTCCACTCACTAGGTGGCAGGGAGCCTTGAGCATGGATGCTGGATGCAGTGGTACCTCTATGAACCTATTTCTGTAAAACAATCTATGAGTAGTGTATTTGGAGGGTGAAATTAAATGGCTCTTTCCTTTTAACCCTGATGACTTAGGCATTCAAGCCCAGGTTGAACCTTGACTTCTGCACATTAGCTCCGTTAGTGCCCTGGGGACCAGCTCTAGATCTCAGTTCTCTCTCAGACCCAACACCCTGCCCAGGCCTGGTGGAGAGCTGACATTCACAAAGCGCAAAATCAACTGATCCCAGGAGGTCAGCCATATGCCGGTGCTGATGTAAAGTTTCCGACCACCTTATGAAGCAGGATGGTGTTATTTTTCCTTTTCACAGATGAGGAAACCGAGGCTCAAGAGGTTAGAATGTGGTGTCACTCCTAGCGTGTGTACACAACTGGTGTGCTGCAGTGATTCTCAGCACTGCTTCCCTGAGCAGTGCTCAGGCTTGTTGACCCTCTGCGCTGGGAATCGTGTAGGGGGAGGCAGAAAAGAGGTGCCAAAGAAGAGACCAGACTGCTGTGACGTCATGGGAATTGTCAAGTTTTTCAGTGTAGAGGAGGACATAGAGAAATGCTCTTGGAGAATGGGCTGTGTCCACTTGGCACTGGGTGGGGGCCTGTGGTGCACTCAGGGCGGGAAGCACAGGAGGCAAGGAGATGATGACCACACTGTCCTCCTCCTGTCTCCCCTCCCCTCCTCTCTTGCAGGGGTGAATTCCTTCATGGTTTACATGGCCTACAAGGATTGGTATCAAGTGTCCAACACGGAGGTAACAACCCACCACGTGTGGTTTGGGGTGTCTGGATGGGTTTCCTGTGGTGGCCAGTGACCTTGGCTTTCGGCACGTGAATCACTGTGGTTCATGTGGGAGAACGCTGGGCAAGGAAGGAGCCAAGTCCTCACCATCCATGCTACATTTTCAGTAAGGTAGCAGGCAGGGTGCCAGGGGCAAGGCAGACTGGGAGCTAGAATTTCCACTGGAGCAACTTTCTCAAAAGGACAAGAGGAAGGGCGTGTCTAAATCTCCATCTACCCAACAAATTCTGTGCCTCTCGGGAGTTCAGGGGAAGCATAAGTGCTCAGCCTTGCAGGATAAAGGAGGGCCCTCTGCTCTTTGGGCTCATCAGACCAGCTTGCCTTTGACTTTCTTCCTGTGAAATGCATGGGGTGTGCTTGTTTTAGACAGACCTCGGCTTCTCAGAAGAAATGTAAAACATGAATTCCCATACTTCCCAGCAAGGAGATGAAGAGGGGTCTGCCCTGAGAGGCTAAGAGATAGAGATTTCAGCTTTTGAGTTAGCTTCTGGCTGTCTGCAATGCCTTTAGGGAGTGTTAAGAAGGATTTTGAAGCACTATCTGAACTTAGTGGGAAATAGTTCCATTTAAGGTGTGTGCAGGAGACAAGAGTGGTGGGGTTTAGTGTCACTTTGTTAGATGCTCTCCCTGTCTGCCTAGGAGACATGATGGGTTTCCTTCCATAGACAGTTTCCTAGAGTTCCTAAAGTTCCTTTGGACTAGCTCTCCTCTTTGGTCTCTTTGGTGATGCATGTTTTAGTCTGTATGTCGGCCCGGGTCACTTATTTCCTTTGGTTGATCCCATTTATTTTATTTTATTATTTACTTATTTTGGCTACACTGGGTCTTGGTTGTGGCATGTGGGATATAGTTCCCTGACCGGGGATGGAGCTTAGGTCCTCTTCACTGGGAGTGTGGAGGCTTACCTCCTGGACCACCAGGGAGGTCCCGACCCCATTTCCTTTAGCTCCTGCTCTAGTCATGGACCTGAGCATGCAGTTACTGAAAGCATGGTGCCTGTGAAGGTGACAGAGCCTCACTTCTGTTTCAGCTGTATGAGATCTTCACGTGTCTGGGAGAGCTGGGGGCCATCGCTCAGGTGCACGCTGAGAACGGGGACATCATCGCCCAGGTAACGAGGCATTGCTCCCTGCGGTGCAGGGGCTCCTTGGGCGAGCATCTGCCTCCCATTGATTTTCTCATTTCTTCAGTGTTGCTGGACCTCTCAAGCTCTAAACCCTCCTAAGCACGGTGCTAAAAACAGAACCTGGCTTCAAGGACCTCACAGTCTAGGAGGAGGAAGTATGAGGGCAAATAGACAAGCAAGGGTGGAAGTATCAATTGAAGATGCTAATAAAGCATTCTGGGAACCAGGGCAGACATCCTGGCAGAGGAGGTTCTCACATTGGGCCTTTTGGTAGGAGAGCATCGCTGATTCTGTTTCGAAAGTGAGTCCAAGCTACATGACACCCTTTTCTAAAGAAAAACTTAAGACAGCATTTCTCAGAAGCTGGAAATCTTATCCAGGACTGCGTAACTCCTGGCCTTAGATAATGAAGAATTCGCGTCTTGTGGGGATCAGACGTCCCACTGGTTTCCTAGAAATCACATTGAGCAACCCGAGGAAAGAGTGATGAAAGCAAGGGCCCCAAGGCCCAAACTGGTCGTTTGTAAGGAAGCAGAAAGCACTTCTCCCTCCATCTCCTGGGGTGCTTAATGGGCTCAATGCACAGATGTGTCTTCGCCAGGGTTCTGTTTATCTCAGAAGTGTTCAGGGTTGGCTTCCGCTGGGAGGAGGCGGCCAGCAAGGAGTGTCAGCTCTCTCAGTCCATTTGATAACATTAACAGCAAGAGCACTTTATTCATTCTTCCTGAGAGTGCTCCCGAGTACTCTGTGCCAGGCACCAGGCTCTAGAGGGAGTCAGCACAGAGGCAGGCCGGCACTCTTGAGTGCTCGGGCTGTGCTGTAGAGGTTGTCCAGGACGTGATGAATGTGGTCAGGAGTGGTGTGGGAGCACGCTGAGACCCACCCTGATCTCAGCTTCTGCCACAGTCCCATTGGACAAAACTTACTGCTGTCCAGGTATTCACCCAACCCTTCCAGGATGGCACCAGCCTCCCCCACGCTTCTATAGATGAGAACATTGAGACTCTGAAGGGTGAGGTCACCAGCCCAGGGACCACAGCTAGTAAGTGGGAGAACTTAGTCTTAGCCTCTCAGGGGGTGTGCCTCTGTGGGCATCTCTACCCAGAGATGGAGAGACGGCGTCCTCTCCACCCGTCCAGCTGTAGGCTTCTGGAGAGACCAGCACCCGATCTGTGCAGGCTGCAGCTGTCAGGCTTTCAGACTCTGAGTGTTGTCTCTCCAGTGGAGGAGGTGAGCTCAGCATGCAGTTTACACTCCCTTATGACCAAGGAGGCTAATTAGTTGGGCCCCTGACAGCCTTCTCCCACGCCCCCCGCACACACAGATAATGAAGTCACTCTCCAAGGAGGCTCCAAATGCCTTGCTCCCATGGGAGGCATCCCGGAGGTGTTGGAGCTGTCACTTCTCTCCTCCCCATTCTCCAAGGTTTCAGGGGAGCAGCCAGATGCCCCAGCCCTCCCTCTAGATTCCCTCGTAGCCAGACTCCCTGCTTCTTCATGCTTTACTCTGTGGAGGCAGACGGGCTCCAACCCTAAGCCCCTTTCCAGCTTTCTCTGTGGCTTCTGAGCACAGAAGTGGCTCTGGGTTCCCCGCCTACACCCTTCCCCCACCTTGGGCAGACTGTTCTCAGGAAAAGAATAAGGGCATTTTTTTCCCCCACTGGAATGAGTTTCTCATGTGTGTTTATTAAATTCATCTCGAGCTGAAAGATCTTATCACCTTGTTTAAATGGAGGCAGCTGCTGTGCTCAGAGCTTCTTGCTGTACTTTATGCAAAGTGACTAAAAGGCGAGAAGAAATATTTCCTATGGGTACCAATAAGGGACCTTTTCAAAAGTTTCAGTAGCATCTTTAGCCAGTCATCCAACAAATACCTACTGAATGCCTACTATGTGCCAAGCCTTGGAGAGGGAGGGTGAAAAAGACAGGGTCCCTTTCTTCATGGAGCAACCAAAACTGAAATGTAATTATAGCAGTGATCAGTACCTCAAAGAGCCCACACCTCCCCCACCCACATCAGGTGGCATCCATTTGCCTTTACAGGCTATTCTTAACCATCCGGATGCAGGGATCCCATGGTTTTGGGAATAGGTCATCCCAATGTGAACAGTGCACTAGAATCAACTGTGGAGTTTAAAGAATGATCTATGGGATTCTCTGAGCTCCAGAGATCCTGATTGGGGAGGTCCGAGTAGAACTCGGTCAAGTGTATCCTGGAAAAATTGGCTTGGTGATGGGAGTGCTCAGAGACCATTGCTTGAGCACGTTTCATCCTGTGCATTGTCCTAGCACTTTTGGACAAGGTAGGAATGAGTGTTGTGTGAGACAGAAGATCCTTAGTTGGACACCTCATCCCTTGTGTGGCTTCATGAAGCAGTTCAGAGTCAAAACCCAGCAGAGTTGGGAAGAAGAAATTGTATTCAGTCCAAGCTTTGATGGGACGGGAAGAATGAAAAATGGAGGTGCTCTGCCAGCAGTGTCAGCTTCTGACCTTTTGTCATATTTTGGAGAGCTGGAAGCTGTGACCATTTTACTTCTCGTGGCTGCTTATAGTAAATGTATCTTCCTTTCTCCAACTCTGTAAAAGATTTAAGTGAATAAAAACATAAAAAGACAAAAAGTGTTCTTTTCCAGGGAAAGGAATCCCTTTCTTTCTAAGCATCTCATAGTTTCTGAATGAGATAGAGCCTTGTTCAGCTCACTCACTCTTTTTATCTCCTGTGTCACCAGCATGAGGTTCCTAGGAACTGGCCTCAGTGCTTGAGCATGAATGTTTGCAAAACTGCAGCCCTGCTGCTGAGGACTGGTGCCAGCTCCAATTAACCTAGCCACCTGCTTCTTCCAGAAAGCCAGCCAGGTCTGAGGAATTTAGCCATCAGTCATGAGGGGTAGAGAGCTCCACAACCTAGTTAAATAGAATTTGACCAAAAGGCTAAGTCAGGTAATGCTGTATTTAGAGGCATTATTCTGTCTGGTTAAATGCTGAATCCGCTTATTGTAACCATCCATTTAAAGCATGAGAGTCTGAGGGGCTTATTAAAATGCAGAATCCTCGATTCTACCTCGTATATTCTGATTTGGGAGACCTGGGTACAGCAGACATCTGCACTTTTACAAAAGCAACTCAGGAGATTCTGATGCAGGTGGTGGGTGGACCATCTTTAGCTTAGACTATTCCAGCATCACTTTTTCAAGCCTCAGTTCAGTTCAGTTCAGTTCAGTCGCTCAGTCGTGTCTGACTCTTTGCGACCCCATGGATTGCAGCGCACCAGGCTTCCCTGTCCATCACCAGCTCCCAGAGCTTAACTCAAACTAAACTCATGTCCATCGAGTCAGTGATGCCGTCCAACCATGTCATTCTCTGTCGTCCCCTTTGCCTCCCATCTTCAATCTTTCCCAGCATTAGGGTCTTTTCCAATGAGTCAGTTCTTCCCATCATGTGGCCAAAGTATTAGAGTTTCAGCTTCAGCATCAGTCCTTCCAATGAATATTCAGGACTGATTTCCTTTAGGATGGATTGGTTTGATCTCCTAGCTGTCCAAGGGACTCTCAAGAGTCTTCTCCAACACCACAGTTCAAAAGCATCAATTCTTCAGTACTCAGCTTTCTCTATAGTCCAACTCTCACATCCATACATGACCACTGGAAAAA